GTCACAGGACATGGCTGTAGAAAAAGGAACAGGATGTACAGAGACTTCCTTCCTCACCATTCCTTTGGCACTACTAAAAAGGGGCAGGATGCAAACCAAGTGGTGGTGAGTGAAGACAGGCACCAACTAGCTCTTAAGACAGGAATGACAACATCCTCATCTTGGGAGGGTGTATGTGGCACTCTAAGAGGGTGTCACAGCTGTTCTGCATTCCCCAGGGAAACCCCAGGAGCTGAACATCAAAGGCATAGTTTGGCCCTAGAGAGTCATCCACAGCCAAAAGGACACTCCTGTGAACTCCGAAAGGAGGCACATCCTCCTTTCATTTGAGTGTCCCACTGCTTCAGATGAAGCTGGTAACCACTGCAGTCTGAGCTCTTTCCTAACGTCTTATTGTTACAGCACTCAAAGTTACCTTGCTCCAATTTGTTATCCTAGTTTCAGCTTAATGGAAAACAGGGGAGCCACAACAGCCTAATACTAGTGAAGCAGAACAGATAATTAGTCCCAGGAACAGAGAAGGTAAATACCCGTGTTGCCTTCTGGCAGATAAGGAAACAAAGTCTCAAAAGTCAGATTAACTGCTCACAAAAAAAAAAAATGGTGTTAAACCAGATGTTCAGCAGTTTACTCTATGATGCTGCTTTAGTAAAATTTAACAGAAGGAACCATGAACTTTCTTTTAGTCTTCTTACAGTGGTTAAATATAGTTTAGAATGTGAACTATAATTTGTTTTACACAGGACAATTAATAACAGAAGAAACAACAATGTGGGTAATCATACTGCTCAAGTATGAACTTCAAGTGATGCAGTGTTTGTACTATGTATCTGAAATAACACATAATAAACGAATAACTTGCTTTTTTACATACATAAGAACATCACTTTAAGGAAATACTACCACTATATCATTACCTCTACAGAGTTTTTGACAGTATATTCATATAAATGAAACTAAAGAGTATTTAATCCAAAAAGAAAAAGCTGTTCCTAGCTAATTTATGCTAATGAAAGTTACCCAGTTCTTCTATTAAGAAAGATAAAATTAATTAGTAGTATTTATAGAAATTAGAGAAACTTTATGATGATATAATTAAACATCATCAACTGCAGTCCTGTAAGAAATTCACAGACTATGTTTAAATTATGTAAAATTATATTTAATTAACATAATACTCTGACTATACACCTATACATTTTGGCTTTGACGAGATGTTGAATGAAGATAAAAATTAGCACTGTTTGGGAACATTGCTTCCTATTACATCAGTGACTTACCTACATTTGCTACAATTGGCATTGCCTTCAAAAACCTGAAGGCAAGAAATCAGATTAATTTTTCTAGTACTACTTATTTTGCAAAGCAAACCTGTTCCTCTCAAAAAAAAAAAAATTTGCTAACCTTCAAATGAAATATAATACAAAATAAGATAGCTTTAAAAGATGGTGAAAAATTAATCATCACAATTTAATCATCACTCAGTAACTGCTATCATCTGATTACGGATGAGGTACTGATTCTAATGACATGAATATAGGTTTTCTATTAATTGTCAGTAGAAGCAGGAAAAGGCTCAATATATTTATTACACATTCCATAGAAAACTATTAACTAATAATAGTACATATTTTAAAACTAGAATTTTTGAAATTTTCTTATAAAAATGGGTCAAAATGTACTGCTTGGATATCTTCAATTTCCTTTTAACGTGGGACAGTTTATAAAAGTTGTGTCTATTATGATACAAGTGAAGCAATACTTCAGCTAAAAACATAGCTTACATTTACACACTCACTTGTATTGAGCTATTTCAGTAAACAGACGGCATCCAAAGCCATTTCTGTCTTCATTAGATCATTTTTAAATAATTTTCCAGCACAGAACAGAACCTGCAAAATTTCTATTGTAAAACAATGATTTCTCCCTAGTTTGCAGCAACTAAGTAGCAAATGTATTAAAATAGGTAAGGGGAAAGGGTTAAATAAAAAAGAACATCACTCTCTGAACCTCATTGTTTTAACAGTACACAAGTCAATTTTTAATCTTCAAGTCAATAAAGTTTAACACAATAAAATAAATTTCTGAATACTTTTCTAGAACTTTCTCTTCTCCTGAAGATATTTTAGAGATGTTATCAGTTCTGGGAAGATCCAGATGCTAGGAAAATTTACTTAACGTATTAAAGACAGAAAATAATTTTATGGAAATATATAAGTATGGCTTCTGGATGGTTTCTCATTGTACGAAGATCAAAACCAATTTAAAGGCAACTGCTAGCTGATGATTTCTAGACCTGATAAGCAAGGAATCTCCCATGTATCTGAATGAAAGGACAGAAGATATTTACTATGTCATATATACAAGGAGAACAGAGTGATTAAGACACTCAGTACTAGCTGTTCCATTCCCAGACATTCACCTCTGAAGATCTATTTCCAGTAATCAGGGTACAATCTATACTTGGACAATTTATCATTTGCAATCCTACCATTACAAAATCTTTAAAAGCTTTTTTAAATTGGGGTATTTTTCTTTTCAGCGGGATTTAAAATTTTCAAACTAATATGTAAAAATACCAAACCAAAGAATCTTTCAGGCTCCTTGCCTGTAAAACTTGAATTAGTCTAAAAATGTCTATTGCTTTTGGATATTGTAGTCAGTCTGTCTGCAAACTTGTGAAATCCAAATGTTGATTCCATCCCACAGTCACTTTCAGGTACAATATTTCTCTAAAACAATATGTTATGGTATTACCTCCAAACACATTTATTTTACATAGGCAGTGATGGAAAACTATGTGCAAAGGTAACCAGTCACGGTTAAATGGGTTTATTTGGTGCATGACTGGCTTGCACATATAATTTCCATTTATTATATTCTAAATCCCCTGGCATAGCAAGTTGAGCAGATTCACCCTGAAGACAGTCATCAGAAGAGATAACTGCTGTACCATAAAACATAAAATGGTCAGAGGCTTTGTAGTACTTATTACTTGTGAAATCCGCAAGGCAAATAGAAGAGGCTGCTGCAGAACACATTCAAACACACATAAAAAAGATAAAGGGAAAAGCAGCAAGACTGAGCAAATTACCTAAGCTACACCCATATACTTCAAAAAAAGGTTTTTAGCTGCAAGTGATTTACCAAAACTACAGTGTAGCCATAACCATTTTTATGGCCCAGTACAGATTCTACTGCCCTCCAGTATAGGGGGCTGTCTTGTCAAAGAGGGACACAATAGTCTCTGTGTAGCAGTCCTTGAACTTGCTCAACCTGCAAAATAACAGTGAACAAACCTGCATGTTTGTATTTACTATTGCCAACACTTCCAGCCCAGGGGTTGAAAGACGCACACTCTTAACCACTTCTTACATTTGTCCAATATTTTGCCAAGATTTCTGGACCAGTAGAGGCTCTGGCACCTTTGCTTACCCTCCAAAACTGCCCTCTGCTCTCCATTTTATGCCACCATAAGAAAAAACAGCATCATCTTTCCCTTGCGTATATAACATTTTTTTTTGTATTCAGACCTCTCTTTCTCTGGAAACTTCCCCAATACTCATAATTCCAGATTCTTATCCTCAGCTGTGTAATACTCTTCACAGTATTCCATATTTATTTATTAATGTATCTCCTTCTTATAGCTTTGTCAAATTTGCTCTCCTGTTCTTAACTAAACACCAGTTCTTCTGAATAGAAGATCACTTAGCACAAGTACCTATGCACAGACTTCTGACTGTGCATCAGTCAGAGGATGAATGGAGCATCCTCTCCTAAGCCACTAAGACTGTGCTGGTCTACTCCCCTGCCTTCTCTCCCTTCACATTCTCCATAAGGTTCCATATCACAGAATTAGCCAAAATACACAGACTAGCATAGTTTCTGAGAGATACTAAATTTACTTAGAAGTTAAAGTTTTTACATTCTTCAGAATCTTCAATCTGTGTATTCACGCTACTCACATTGCTAGTCTCTATTTCCTTTTTATATCTTTAAATAGTTTTCTAATTCTTCTTTTGTGTTTCAACTGAAATAATATTTAAAGCTGTTCACTAACAGGCCTCTGCCTTTATAATGTGCAGTCATATTACCAAACATAACAAAACTCCTTTGTAGGTAATTAAAGCTGACAGCACCGAATTCAGCTATAAATGCATGTTGTGATTTTAGATAATCTTATTGACTACAAATGAAATACACATGAAACACAACAGAAGAATAAAATAAAATTGCAAATTCAAAATATTTAACATAGTTGGCAGAAAAAGTAAAAAAGAAAATCCATGGAACATGCCGTTACAGAGATTTATAAACATGTAACCAAAGAGAATCACTATATCATCAGAACAATTAACCAAATATTTTCTAATGAAGCACAGATGTAAAGAAGAATGAACTGGCACAGCCAATCTATCTGATCTGCTAAAATAAACATATTTAAAAACTAAAAGAACCTTTACATTTCCACAGCTAAATTGTGGTCTGTTTGAATGTATTTACAAGGTGATATTATTATTAAAATATCAAATACAGACATGTCAGGAAAAAGAGCTAATACATGCATACATGATATCTGTTTACAATTCACTAATTACTCGACACATTTTACATGAAATCTGGAAGTATATTTATTAGAAACCCACCAGCCCTCTGCATTGTGGGAGCCCATGCAAGGCACGAAAACATTGCTGGGGAAACTGAAAGGTTTGGTTAGGAAAGCCAGCTTTTGTACAGCAGAGCAAAAACACTGTGAAACCTGCTTCCACCCATAATGAAAACTGTGTATTTGAATGCATTATTACTGTTACTCAGATCTTCCCAGACACTATCTGGTCACGTTCAATATTACTGTCCTGCAGACACTTACTTCAACATGCAGGGTAAAGGCAGCTAATAAGCATAATTAGCTCAGACAGTGTATTTAATTTAGTTTTGCACTAAAGACTAATTGCCTACTCAGCAAGGGGAAGTGTAACATTGTTTTTTAAGATGCTTACCCGAGGGCCCTGATCACCTTGATCTCCCTGCAAAGTGGAAAGATGAGATGATAGGTTTAACACAGCATCTGTGTGCTACCCAGCTCTCTTACATAATCTGACATTACACTGCGTCAACACAAACGATCTCTTTAGCTCATGCTGGGCTTTCCATTCATCTGTGTCACCCGTACATCAACTCACCTTCTCGCCTTTTGGACCAGGAGGGCCCTGAAAGAAACAAAAGCAGAGAAGAATTACTAATACTGACAAAGTCCTGGGACTCAGCAAGAAACAGGTCTGTGACAGTCTGCAAGTTCTTCCTAACAATGTATGTCCTTGTAATTTTTTCACTCCAAAGGCCAGGGCTATTCCAGAGATAGCTTCTTCACTGTATTAATAATAGCACTCTGTAGTTATTTCTCAAATAGTCTGCTCACCCTGTGTGTTAAATCAGGCTACTTCAACAAGCAAAACTATGCCTGAAATGGCAAAACTTCTATTGATTCCAGTTAGGAGCAGCAGTTTATCTCCTATCAGATAGTAAATGTTTTTTAAGACTGTAAAACTTCTTTGCAAGTGCATCTAATAAATTCAGAGACATATAAATCTGCCATGTATTTTGGCACCCTCCCTGGCTTAGATTGCCAAAGAAAAATGGACTCGGGAATCTAAAAGTAGAGTTTTCAGTCCTATCTTTGGCAATGCTGAAGTTGATGTTTAGTCTCAAGTGTTTTAGACAAAATTTGCTCTTTGTATAACGTGAATTTGCAGAAGTAATATTTATTGTTACTTACCACCAGACAAACAGTAAGGTGACAATCACATAACAGCATGGTCCTTTCCTATTCCATTTTTATTAAGCACCTTCCAGCAAGCTACCAGCAGGTTTCTAAAACACTAGTTTTCAGGTTAGTATCTTGTGAATAAAAGCGCTAGCAGTCTGCAGAGAACTGGCTGCTTACACAGTGCAGACTCTACCTCACTTTTCTGAAAAATATGCAGGTGTTTCATTACAAAGAAGGACCTGGGAATGTATGAAAGCAGCTGGAAACAGAGAAGGAGCCATCCAAGCTAGCAGAGAGAGGGTGTGTGTATGTGCACAAATGCAGCATAAGAAAAGGTTGCCACCAGCAAGACAATTAGAAATAACCAAGTGCAACTTAGTTGAGCTGAGCATGTTTGAATCATTTCATAATTTACACTAGTAAAAATTCATGTGGTTCACATAAATGCAAATAGAAGGAAGGTCAGTCTGCTGTGTATTAAAGATGTGACCAACCATATGCAAGTTTTTGAGAATCCTCGTTGTAGTCAATTTTCTGCTTATTTTTAAGGGCTTCTGACGCATGCCAGAGAAGGGCATCTGCTGCTAAATCTTCCAAGGAGTTAAAACATATGCCTCTCCTTCCATAGCCTGCCATGTCTTCCGTCAGCTGCAGAGCACACAGAAACAAGTCTGCTACCTGACTTCTCCATATCTCCTTTACAAAGGATAGTGCTCAGTGCTAGCTGAATGGGAACCGTCTGCTCAGGTAACTATGATCCCATCAATTTTGCACCACTCTGCAAGAACTTGTCCTCTTTAAAAACAAAGTAAACCAAACAATTTATGAATGGATACAACCTTGCTGCACCCTTTAAGGTGTCTCCATCTATTTTTTTTTATACTTTAACTCTTATTGACCCTTTCCAATGCACATGTTCATATACATACACCGGAAACTACATGCAGCACTGTCTACAGACTCATACTTACTTGGATGTGACATTACATAGACTATATTTTCAGCAGGCCCACTTTAAAACGTACACATATATGTCTTTAATCTTGCAAATTTGCAAACTCATACCATCAGTAACACAGTAACTTCAGAATGGGAAGAAGTAGAATCAATCAACGCTGGCTGTTTCTGCCTTTTTCACTGTGAACACTGAGTACAAGTGAAGGGCTGTGCTTATGTATTCTATCTCCTTGAATTATCAGACTGCTACTGGCTCTGAATATCTTACTGGCAGCAAACTGCAAATAACATGACCCCTATCTGCTACAGTCAGAATCCTATTTCTTGGGTCTTAAGCGTGAAATTACAGATAACATGATCAAGACTGCAGACAGATGTTGGCTTTTGGATCATGCCACAGTTGTGGGACTGCTACTGCCTTCATCCAGCTGCTCAATGCCATTCTTACGCCCAGAGTTAGCCCTACTTCTGCAGGGTTTTGGCTCACAGCTTTTCTGAGGCATGCCTACCACAGCTCTGCCAGCTGGTAGAAACTAAGACAGCAGAGACTGCATCAGCTGCCTGAACTAAGCTGGCTCACTGGAACAGAAACAAGATAGAGCATGCTCACATGAGATTCAGCCAGCAGATCTGAGGGGCTACAAAACCATCTTCCTGGTACAACTGCTGGCAATATGCTCAGCTGTTTACACCTGCAGAAGTGGTCCCTGCCTCACCTTCGCATATCTTCTGTTAATTTTCTGAAAGAGCAATCCATACCCAAACACGTTTATTATAAGACCAAATCACATATCTCAATTAATTTTTTCTTCTTTTTCTGTGCAGAGTTTTTTTAAAACTGCTTGTCCACATCATATTCAGAAATCCAGGGTTTTCTTTTCATTTCTTTCTATTGGACAAAGCCAGCAACTATGACTGCTTGGTGTTTGCTCTCCCCTAGTGTGACACACTATACTCTCTCTGAAGTCATCCTTCAGCACACAATTTTTTCATACAAATTCTTCATTAATATCTGACAACTTTATTGTACCAGAAGTTAAAAACAGCTTTTCAAGAGGCCACAAGAGCACTTCTAGTGTGAACATTCTCGCAAGTGTGAACAATTCTCTCTGCACTTGTATTTGCAATGCTTTTGCTTTCCACCAAGAGTCTTGGAAAACAAGCAAAGAATTGCAAGCAAAAATAGCTCTTCTGGATGCTAGTGAATAGAACCAGTGGGGTTTCAGCAAAAGAAACTTAATGTAATTCTGTCATGGCTTGTTCACCCATCTCTGGCTCTTCCCCCATTGTTTCAATTGTTCTCTATTGTTTTTGCAACTTTAAAAAGAAAATTCCTATCCTCAGCCTTTGACATCTTCTTTCCATTTGTGCTGAGAAATTCTCCCAAGGTTTTTACTGCAGAATTTATTAGTGTGTGTACACTGAGTGGAGGCAGGGAGAAAGAAAAATCTGAGGGAAAGCTGGGTTTGCGGGGGTGGGGTGTGATTGGGAGAAAGATTTGTTTAAAGGAGGGCAAGGTTTCTTCTGTTTAAGCGTCTAGACACAAAGAACAGAGTGAGTAAAATAACACTAGCTTTGTAGGCCACAGCATAGACATCCTGCTTTTTTCCCAGGGAGACTTCTGTGCTTTCGTTTATGAGATTGCAGAGATCAAGCTGCTAGCTGCCGCACAAATGTGAAAGCATTTTGTGTAAGTTATATGAAACGTCTGAGGTCAGAGCATTTCTGAAATAACTTTACAGTGTTTTCACTGGAAACAGAGGCTCTTTTCTCAAAGTGTAATTATCTACTCCAGACTACTATACATTTCCAAGGAGAGTTTATAGCCTGTTTCACATAAGCAAGGCCTTGTAAATCACAAACACGTGCAATATCTGCATTCATAATTAGGCGACAAATACTACTGTTTTAAAACAAGTTCTTCTAAGGCAGACCAAAAGGCCTCCAGGCACCTGCCAGCCAAGAACAAAGCTGAAATCAAGGTCAAATCCACTCAACAGCCATGTTCAAAATTACTGGCAGGTGACTTTTTTTTTTTTGGCTATCAAAATCCCATTTCCATTCTCTGATGAAGTCTTTACATTATTATGAATATGGGTACAAGAAATAGAAGAGCAAGTGAATGCAGTGCTGCAAAACATGAGACCAGCCCTTGTGGTCTTCATTCAGAAAACAATTCCCCTTATGATTAGCTGTGATCAGCAGGATTTTCTGCACAGCAGGCATCTTATAATTCATTGCCTGAAATTTGCTGATTTTGTATTCCACCCTTGTGGCCATTGCCACCTTTACAGTTTTGGAAAAGTTATGTTCAGAGGACTTCTTAAAAAGTCAATATTTGATTTATATTGGTTTTGCAAACATTCAAAACCATCTGAATTCTCTTAGATATGTTCTCTCCGTATTCCTATTGCCTTTAACCATAATACAGGCATTTCTACCATGACTTCACCAAAACTCTCCCAGCATCTTTCAGAGTAGAACTGAAAATAGTAAGAGATTCTCAGGAAGGGGTTCAAAGAAACAGCAATATTTCTAGGTTCTGTAGAAACCTTCAAAGTCAAGACATAGGAATCCAGATTTACAGTGAAATGTTAGGCAACCCATATGATTCCACTGCAAAAAGGACCTGCCAGTGCCTGGCATAAAGTGATAAACAAGCAGAATCAGTTGGACTGTGACAGTCCCAGATCCCAGTAGGACCATTCACCTTCAAGGTTCCTAAGGAACCTGAGATGTCAAACTCTGCCACTCCTATCAGACAGCTTCCACAGAAGACAGTTAATAATAAGCCATTAGATGCAGCCACTGCTTTTCTGTATTTCAACCACAAGACCCATAAGTTAAGGCAACCTGGCAGCTAGAGGACTGAATATAACTTGCAAGGTTCAACCTTCATTTTTGTTTGGGATAAAAGAGCATACAAGGCATTCATCCCTACTAGCAGCTATAGCATCCACAATAAGAGTGTAGCTGGCAGTGTAAGGGAATAGCAGCCTTATTGAGACAAGCAGAAAAGAAAAACAGTCCAATGTCATTCAGACAAATTCAAAATAGAAACTAATTTGCCAACTTAGTTTAATCATGTTTTCACAACTAAATGACATGCCATACATTGCCAAAGTAAATTCAATTCATACAGTTTATTTTGAGGGTAAGAGGTGGTTTTAGCACATAACAACAAAGTATTCAGTTACAAAAGTCTGACCTTATATTTCTTTGAAATTTGGCTCATGACTTTCAAAAATTACAATTATCCTGCTGGAACAACCATCCCAAGTCTAACCTATAGTTACCGCAAAATATTAGAATCAGATATGCTGAATCATAAGATAAGAGGTTACACAGAGTATTATGAAACAATACTATTTCCAAGTTCCTGTCCTTACTTTAGTCTTGCATCCACCGTGCAAGCCCTGAACTACTCAGCAATGTGTTTTTGGCATTTGCTGAATTTGGCCATATTTACAGCCAGTATGTGCATAC